TTCCCTTCTAATGGCTAGAAGTTATACGTTCTGTTATTCTTTTAGTGGTTACTCATAAAATTTCAGTAGCATACTAATTGTAAAGTCTAGAGTTCATCAGTACTCTTACCATCCTCTTAACAACATAATATACTAAAATACTCTTTGCAACACTTCTGTTTTATCTTTAATATCATTGTTTATTATTTTACTTCCTCCTTGTTAGTAACGCTTTGCATTAGTTTTTTTTTTAACAATGCTTATTTAGATTTTCTCATATTTTTTCCACTTTCTTTGCTCATCTTTGCTCCTTGCTTCCTATTTTCCCATGTGCATTTATTTCTTTTCTTTTAGAAATATCTTTTGTAGTTGAGAGTTTTTGGGTGGTAAACTTTTAAGTGTTAGAAAATGCCTTTTCTTCATGTTTGCTCTTGAACAATAGATTAGCTGAGTATAGAATTTTAGATTGACGGTGATTTCCCCTCAGTTTTTTCGGAATAAAATTGCATTTTTTTTTGTTGTTCTTGTTGTTTCTTTTTTCTTTCTTTTTTTTTTTTTTTTGTGCTGATGAGAAACCTCTTGTTAGTTTTGATACCCTTATGTAGGTAACCAAGATTTTATCTTTTGCTGGTTTTGATATTTCCACTCTGTTACGATGTGTCCATGTGTGGATTTGTGTTCATCCTGATTAGGACTCAATATACTTTTTCAGTCCAAAGATTTATATATTCTGCCTATTTTAGATAATTCTCAGATGTTATTTCCTTGTATATTGCTTATATTTTCTCTTTGTTCCTGGAACTATTCAGGTAGTTTGATATTCTTTTTGTATTTTCCATCCTGTTATTTCTCTTTTACATTCTGAATAATAGCTTTAGTTCTGTCTTTCACCTTACTATTTCTCAATTCCCTCTCTTGGTCCTTTCTTGCCTCCCTCCCCATTTCTAACTTCTCCCTTCCTCATGTGTATACCATCTTCTTTTTAGAGCCGGATTATACATTATTTATATTTTATTCAGCATATTTGTATAGTTTTTATAGTCCCCGTGCTTCTTCCTCTTCCCTTCCTCCCTCCCATCTTTTTTCTCTTTCCCTTCTAATTTTTCTGTCCCCTTTCTACTTATTTGTGCTTGACTTTGTATTATATTTTATGCTGCATTTCTGTGTTTATTTCTCTTTACCCGCGCCTCTTCCCATCCTTACTGCCTCATCCCTCTTCCATATTTACCCTTCAACCCCATTGCTTCCTTTTCTCTATCCCACTTTCTCACCATACTCCTTTCACCCTACATCCCCTCTTCCTCCATCCCACTGCCTCCTTCCTATTTTCCTTTCTTTTCTTGATTTCCTCTCTTTTTCTTTTTTTGAGCTTGGTATTAAATTACTTGTATTATTTATTTTTATCCAGCATTTCTTTGTATTTGCAGTGAGAAGGTAGCTTGTGTTATGACAGTCCACCATGTTGTTTGATCCATCCTCATTATTCTTGATTATTTTAAGGCAATAAGACAGTAACTTGCTATGTCTGGTACTTTATTGTTAGAAACAGATAAGTTGTGATATACCTCACAGATCAGTGTATTATGATGAGAAACAGTACTAAATGGTGGGGTTTTATTTTTTAATGGATGAGAAAGAAGAATAATGATAGTATAAAATTGGTTAAATTTTCAGCTTTCCAGCTTCAGTTATGTGATAACTTTTATAGGGAAATATTAAATATCTGAACTTTAGGCCGGGTGCGGTGGCTCACGCCTGTAATCCTAGCACTCTGGGAGGCCGAGGCGGGCGGATCGTTTGAGCTCAGGAGTTCGAGACCAGCCTGAGCAAGAGCGAGACCCTGTCTCTACTAAAAATAAAAAGAAATTAGCTGGACAACTAAAAATATATATATAAAAAATTAGCCGGGCATGGTGGCGCATGCCTGTAGTCCCAGCTTCTCGGGAGGCTGAGGCAGTAGAATTGCTTGAGCCCAGGAGTTTGGAGTTGCTGTGAGCTAGGCTGATGCCGGGGCACTCTAGCCTGGACAACAGAGTGAGACTCTGTCTCAGAAAATAAATAAATAAATAAAATAAATATCTGAACTTTAAAGTTAAGAAAACTGACTTTTAACTTTTGAAAATTTTAATTACCTATGTTGTAGTGCTTAAATGTCTCACAAATATGCAGTAGATAATAAATGTATTATGATCAGATTTTTAAAGCTTATCATAAAAAGAGCCTAAAGAGACATTTGAGAAATTTTGTTTGTGGAAACAAATTGAAATCTAGAATTACTTTGCTACTTAAATTTAGTATTCCCAAAGGTCTGCAAAGCATTCCAAGGCTAAGTTGGGTTTTTGTTTGTTTTTTTGTTTTTGAGACAGAGCCTCACTTTGTTGCCCTGGCTCGAGTGCAGTGGCGTCATCATTACTTACTGCAAGGTCAAACTCCTGGGCACAAGCCCTCCTTCTGCCTTAGCCTTCCAAGTAGCTGGGACTACAGGCGCGCTCCACGACGCCCAGCTAATTTTTCTATTTTTAATAGAAACGGTGTCTCACTCTTGCTCAGGCTGGTCTTGAGCTCCTGGACTCAAGCAGTCCTCCCACCTCAGCCTCTCAGAGTGCTAGGATGACAGGTGTTAGCCACTGCGCCCAGCCTGAGTTGTTTTTTTAAAATCTCAGAGACCTCAATCTGAATTTATGGTAAAATTCTTGGTTTCTTTAAGAACATACTAATTTACAAACACTTCAGGTCAAACAGAACTATTTCCAAAAATAGGGAAAAATTTTGAAGCCTTAAACATTTTTTAAAAAGCATTGATCATCAGCTCAGCACTATGCAAAGCACTTCCCCTAGATTAAAATTTTCAAAGGTTATGAAAGAAGTTAAGGCACGCTTGCCGCTACTAAAGAGCATCCAGTATCTGTAGAATACTACTAGCTCATATGACACAATTAGGACTCACTGAGTAAAAGTAATGGAGACCTTCATAGAAAGAGAAACAGAATGGGTTAAGGGGGACCTTTTTGGAAAGAATGGGACTTGGTATTGAGGTTTAAATTTGGTTGAATTTTTTCCATAATCTCTTTATTTGTGGATTTCCTTCCTTTTTCCTTTTCCTTTCTTCTGTGTTATTGTTTTGACAAGAGAGTTGTTTTCAAGTAAGTGAAACCCTGTTATTATATTTTATTTATCTTTTCTGTGTTTCTTCCTCTACTGTGTATATTTTGTGAATTGGGGATTTATTGATGATTTATAAAAAGTATTTTATAAAAGAATTTCTATTTGCTAAAGAGTTTATTACAAATAGATATAGAGTAAAAAATAGCCTAATTTTGATCAAACATTTTCAGCATTTTTTATTAGCATTAGCAAGTATGTATTCCCAGACTTTGTTAGCATGCCACGTGGGAAGGAAATTAAAAGAGAATATTTTGGCTTCTACTATGTTGCAAATCTTGAGTTGATTCATGTTTGCTTTTGTTTTGTTTTGAGTTTTTGTTTTGCTTTGTTATTGTTCTCATTTTCTCCTTTCTCCTGGGACGTTGGGTTTGAAACATTAATTTCAGGAAATTTAGAGGTAATTATAGTAGCCTCTGTTTCATTCTAATTTATAGTTCTTTATATTACTCTGTGGGAAAAACATAACACTTTTTCTGTTTATCTCAGTGGTATGTGTTTTTATTTTTATATTCTATAGAATATATTTAACTAGATTTGATGACTGTTATTATTATAGACAGATAATAGATAATTATCTAGAGTTCTTTTCTTATAGATTTATTACATTGAAAGCTGAATGGCATAGAAGTTAAGAGCATGTACACCAGGTCTAGGGTGCCTGATATTTAAATCTTGCCTTTGCTTCTTACTGGCTAAGTTATTTAGACTCTTTGTGCCTAAGTTTCTTCATCTAAAATAGGGGTAATAATGGTACTTATTTCATAGTGTTGCTATGAGGATTATAGAAATTAATTTCTGTAAAGTACTTAGAAGAGTGAAGAGTGTCTAGTATATAGGAAGCATTTAATTTGTGTTAGCCATTATAATTTTTTCCAATTTCATGGAAAGTCACACAGGTAGTAAGTTAAGTGCTAGGTGTAGAATCTGGACTATGGAGTGGCATATGGGTGTTTTAATTCCAATTAAGATTAAAGCAGTGTTGTTAGTTAGGCCTATCGATAGGTTATGCAGTCTTTTCCCAGGTAAAAATTTCCAAGCTATGAAATGAATATAAAAAGTAAAAATAATTTATTTTATTAATAATAAAACACATCTGAGTACATATTGCTTGCTCAGCACTGTGCTAGGTTTGGGGAATCCTGACGTAGACACAGCTTCTATTCTAAAGAAGGTAGACTAGTCCTGGAAGAAAGGCAAGAAGACACTTGCAACATTGTTATTTCCATAAGAGAGAAATGTGCAGTATCCAAGGGAATAGAAGGGAAACGCATCTATCCATTTCCTTTTGGGGGGGCAGAGCAAAAGAGGAGCAAGCAGTCTTGGAAAATTCCAGAGATTAGATGTTACTAAAAAATTACTATGAATATTCGTAGGATAAGATAATTCACAAGAGTTTAAAGTGCTGTCTCTATGTTGTTACTATTTTACTTTAAATTCCTGGGTTCAAGCAATTCTCCTGCCTCAGCCTCCCAAATCCCTGGGCCTACAGGCACATACCACCACGTCTGGCTAATTTTTCTGTTTCTTGTATAGGTGGGATTTCGATTTTGCTCAGGCGGGTCTTGAACTTCTGACCTCAGGCAATCCTCCTGCCTAGGCCTCCCAAAATGCAAGGATTACAGGCGTGAGCCACTACACCTGGCTCAGTTTGTAAAATTAAAACTAAAATCTGTAAAGACTAAAGTTTTGAGAACAAGGATACAGCTGTATAAATACATATGTGAAAGATTTTAACAGGATAGAATTTTAGGAGCAGTTCTTTGGCTTTGAATGAAACTTGACACTATGAATATTTGTTAAATATGATTTAACATATATGTAAATAGTAATCACTAAAAACTGTTTTTATTTTTCAGAGAATGCAGAATCTATTGATCTTAAACAGTTTTTTGACCAACATTTTTCACATATATACTATGTGTTCTTTGAAAATTTTGTGACTATTGAAGCTAGTCTTAAACAGAAAGGTAAGATGTTAATATCTATGCTGGCTTAGGTTAATGTTTCCAATAATTGTCATAAACATTACATTAAAAAGAGGCTCTTAGACATTGGAATTTTTGGTATCGTTTCATTTCTGTTTCTCAGTTTTTTGATACTCCTCTGATGCTGTTATCATAGGTCTAATGACATGTATTTGAAAGACAACTAATGAGTTAACATTACTACCTTTATTATTAATACTTTGTGAAGGCTTTGAAGATTTGCTTTTTCCCTGTTCAAGTTTATCTGTTTCCTCATCCTTCTTTGTTCTTCCCTAGGGGCATGTGTCAAATTTTAGCAGTCATTTTCATGTTTTCGTTTTCAGAGCTCACTTAAAAATGGTTCTTTACAATATGTCATGATTTGATTTTAGACATAAATATGTAGAACCTAAATTTAATTACAGTACTCGTAACAGAGAGATGCTATAATATTGTCTATACAATGAATCGAATCCACATTAAACATTTTACTAAAGAATCACTGAAAAAAAACTTTAGTGCTTGAAATATATTTTAAGCTCATTAAATGATTGTTAACAATGAGGAAAAAATGATATGCTTAAAATATTTTCCTGTAAAAATGTTTTAGGTCACAAGTCTCAAAGGGAGGAATTGGATGCTATACTTTTTATTTTTGAGGTAAGTTCCTCTGAATCTAACTTTTTTCTTTCTTTCAAAAATTATTGAAATTACAAAACATACAATGAAACACTGAATCTACAAGCCTTTCTGAAAACTAAATCTAATTTTTTAACCTAAAAATATGCCACACTGAATTCTGTATTTTTTGAAGTACACTGTATTGTTTTTAGGTACAGATAGAATTATGTTTTTATGCATTTGACACCACAAAATTGGCATGACAGTCAATGTGTTTGCAAACAAAGAAAATTTTAATTTGGGAGATTTACACAAATGGAGAATTTCTTTGTTTTTGTTTTGACTCCAGAACATTCTTATCTGAGAGGGTATATTCATATATAACTGTTATATACCTAGGGGATTTATCATTTCTGGCTTAACTGGTTTTCATTGCAAACTTATATAAAATAGTCTTAAGTGTTTTAAAAATTATTTTACATTAGTTTGGATTGGGTGGGGTAAGTCTTTATAAATAAAAGTTGGAAGAAATGTAGCTGAAAGCTGGATGAGCAAAATTTGATGCTCTACTAAAATTTGGGGTTTTTTTCCCATTTTTTTATACTTTTTTAAAATTTCAGAATATTACTGGGGTACAAACACTTTGGTTACATATATTGCCTTTGCACTGCCCAAGTCAGACCTACAAGCGTGCCCAGTCCCCAGACATTGCTCACCGTGCCCATTAGGTGTGAATTTACCCATCCCCTTCTCCCCCATCACCGGCCTGACATCCTATGATAAAATTTGTTTTTTATTTTTAGCATTCTCATAAAAATTAAGATCCTTTCACACTCCCCCCCTTTTAAAATTAATGCTTTGTTCTTTATTCTTTCAGAGTAAACAATCACAGGAGTATTCTGATCTTTACTGAGAATTTAGAGACCTGTAGAAAGTCAAGAGTAGAACTTGTGACTTGAAAGACATAGGAAAGAATTTGGAATCAGTTTCTAAAGATTGAGCTATTCTGTCAGGTGTTAATTAAAGATAATTCACTCTTTTATATTTTGAATATTTTGATATAGTTTAGAAGAATATGAACAACCCGACTGATATTTCCCTTAGCCGTTGATATAGTCATAAGTAAAAAAAGAAATTTTCTTTTTGTAGAGACAGGGTCTTGCTCTGTTGCCTCGGTTGGGGTACAGGGGTGTCATTGTAACTCCTTGCAACCTCAAACTCCTGGGCTAAAGCAGTCCTCCTGTCTCAGCCTCCCAAGTAGCTGGAACAAGAGGTGCATGCCACCGCACCTGGCTAATTTTTAAATTTTTTGTAGGAATGGGATCTTGCTGTTGCCCAGGCTGGTGTCAAACTCCCAGCCTCAAGCAGTCCTCTCACTTCAACCTCCCAAAGTGCTAGGATTACAGGCGTGAGCCACTGCAGCTAGCCAGAAATTTTTTTTTTTCTTTGAGTTCCAGACAGCAGTAACTGATGTTGGTATCTATTCTGCATTTAATTTTCCATAGTCATGACCCCTGTGGAATTTGTTTATATTTACCTCCCCAAGTGTTTGCATGAACTGTTTACAAGGGGAATATTGAAACATAGATGTTTTGAGAAAGAATGAAAATATCCACAGTAAGGTAATGATTCCTGGAAACTGTTCTTTCAAATGTTCATGCTTGCCTTATATTCAGGAAACTAAGATGATTGATTGATTAGTTAATAGAAGCCCTTTCAGGATATTCCTTCTATTAAAAAATGATATCTATTTTCCTATATGTAATATATACTGATCATTTTTTACTCTTTAAATAGAAATGTGTTTGTCTTTAATGGATCACTAAATTTTATTAGAGAAAAGATGTTAGATACAGGGTTTTCATCTTTTGAAAAAACTACTTAACCTTTGTGCTGATGTTTTTCTACTTATAAAGGGATAATATATGACCTCTACCTTTAGAGACCAATGATGAAAAAAAAAATCAAGAGATAATAAAGTGATTTCCTCTTTCTGGAATAAAAAGCATTATTATATAATGTTAATAACATGGAACAGGATTTATCTTCTCTTTTTTTCTGTGTATTTAAGGGCACATATAATTTCTTTCATCTTTTATTAACCACATTAAAAAGATATAAGGGCTAAATCTAAAGTTTAATTTAATGGTCATAATTTAGCAATGCCTTTGAATAGTTTTCAACCTTGTCTTTTCAACTTTTCTATAATTTTATCTCTTTCCATATCAAAATGAATATAATTATATAATTGTTGACTAATTGTGGGAGACGTATAGGGAGGGCAAAGTTAAAAAAGTTTATATTTCTCATGTGGAACCTTCATTTGTCTTTCTAGAACTTTATAATTTCTTCATCATTCTATTATGTGGGGTGGACTAGAGATAATCATATCCAAGGGAAGACAGAGAAGTATAAAACATGCATATCATCCTTTAATCAGAATAATATTAAGGCAGAGATTTTGCAAATAGATGTATCGAGGTTGCAGTCTCTGTTCTTCCACTTTATGGCTTTCTAACCTAAGCATGCTACTTACCCCATTTCCTCATTTGTCGAGTGAGGTTAATAAATCCTCCTTTTGGTATGATTGTAAGGATTAATGAGATACCATTATATATATGTGTAAGTGTCTAGTTTAGACAGTGTCTAGTTTCAGCCCTTATGAGCATTCAATTAATGATGTCGCTAAATAATAATAGTAATAAGAACAGTACTAACAACAAATAAACACAAATGTCATTCACCAAGTAGATGAGTATTGAGAGCATAGTTCATCAGTAAGGTAGCAGTTGATTTACGTAATCCACACAGATGCAATAGAAAAGAAAATAAAAGGCAGAATTTCGAATATATTATATGTAATAAGTGTTTATTCCCAATTAATGGAAATCTATATATGTTAGCTTAATTATAGGACTCCAAATTTTTAAATTTTGTTTCATATCTGTATCCATCATAGCATCTAAGTACCTCTGGATTCACATGAATTAACTCAGTATAAATAATTGATATGATTTTCATGAAATCAAAATATTTTCTCTAGATTTATCAAAACAGAAAGAACCACTGAAAGAAAGAGAAAATGGCACAAATATCAATATGTGAAGGAATTGAAACTCATCATTGATATCCACAATACAGAACTTCTAGGAATTGCCAGTCATGGTGGCTTGCGCCTGTAGTCCCATCTGCTCAGGAGGCTGAGGCAGGAGAATTGCTTGAGCCCAGGAATTCCAGGCTACGGTGTGCTATGATCATGCCTGTGAATAGCCACTGCACTCCAACCTGGGCAACATAGCAAGACCCTGTCTCTAAAGAGAGAGAGAAAAAAGAAATTCTAGGAATAGTAAATAAACATATATTAGAATGGTAATTTAATCATTAAGAAGAAATATGCTTACACTTTCTATATTATTGTAAAAGATAAATTTTGTTATTTTCCTGTTCCAAGTCTTTGTTAGTATTGCATTGCTTGTTGTCTTTGGGGGTTTTCAAATATTGATCAACATGCCAGTGCTGAAATAATGTCAGTACTGTCATAAAACCTCAAAGACTATTTTGTATTTACAATACTATCTTTTACATAGAAACTCTTAAGGACTTGGTAAGCCCTTTAATTTTTCACATTTCATAGGATGTGAGCTCATTACTTGATTTTTCAGTCTTGTCTTTGTTTATATTGATTTTTAGAAAATTTTACAACTTCTTCCAGAAAGAATTCATCAGCGATGGCAGTTTCATAGTATTGGTAAGTAATTTAAATATATTTTGCGTTTGAAACAAATGATAATGTATGAAAATGTTGTTTAATTAGTTGGTTGTTTGAAGTGAATTCATAGTATATGCTTTAGTGAAAACTAAAGAATACAGAGACAGATGACTGGAAAAGTAAGAAAAAATGTAGATGAAGGATTTCTAGTCAAAATTGCATAGTAAGTTTTTTTGATCTCTGAATACATTAGCAGTGATGATAAAACTATAAAACAAAAAAATAATAAAGCAGGCTCAGTATCAAGATAAGTATCTCTGTGAATCAGAAATGGAAGAGAAATACAAAGTGCCAAATAGAACGGGAAACTATGGGCTCCAGATTTTGGAATTAAGCAGTGTGAACTGGCAGTTTGCTCCATGCACAGAAAAGGCAAGGGATGGGGCTAGAATTAAGCTTACTGCATCAAGGGCCAAAATAGGGCTTCCAGTCTCATAAAATGAAGCCGAAGAAAACAAAACAATAAACAAAACCTTACTGCAGTTTACTGTCAGAGACCAAGTAGGCAGGAGGTCACAGATCTGTTACAGGAAGTAAGCCCAAATGCTTGCTGGCTTGGAATCTGATTTTTCAGCAATCACAGTATCACCCACAAGACTCTTAGTCTCTCATTATAAAGCTTACTTTTTCCCCCTCAGATTAAAAAAGAGTCTGCAGGGAGGCAGTTGTTGGCTTTGGTTCAGTGTTTCAATGATGATAGGGTTAATTGGTAGCTATTCTCATGTGCCTTCTCTCCTGGGAAATATACAGCCACCAGGTCTACATTGTTGAGTGTTATATACACCTTACATTCATTTGTAAAATTGTATTTGTTTCTCTTAAAAAAGAATAATAAATTTATTTAGGCTCTACATTGCTTAATCAGTTCTAGCAAATAAAATCGTCTCTGAGGCTTTGAAACCATAGACTATTCCAGTTAGCAGTTCCAGTAACAGAAGGAGTTCTGGACAGGTAGGAGAGACATTGATGCAACAGCTAAAAAAAGACAAAATCCTAAATAGCAAAGCCTTTTAAATATTTTGGGTGAGTTTGAGACTAAAAATGATGTATCCTTATATATAAAGAACTCTTAAAATACAACATAGCTGGAAGACAAGTCAATTTTTAAAATAGGCAAAAAGATTTGAATAAACATTATATCAGAGAAGACATATGAATTGATAATAAGCACATGATAGTGGTGTTCAGTAGAATAGTGAAATCCTATTTTGTATTTCTTAATCATAAAAATGTCCTTGAAGGTTGTCTTTGAAGAAACTTTTTTTTGAGACATCTGAACTTCAAAAATGTATTCTATCTCCTGAGAAATATAGCCATTAACCTCCAAAGGACCTTTAGGCTGCCTACTTTTTGTGATTAATAATATTCTAAAAAATATCTGTAACTTGAGAAAATACATAAATGCATAAGTAGTCACTTTCCATTTGTCACTTAGAAGAATCCTACAACTCTTTCATATTGTGTATAAAAGAAAATAAATCAATGACTCTAGTTGATTTTTTAAAAATATCTTTATTGAGGTATAATTTACATAGATAAAATTTATCCATTTAAGTAAACAATGATTTTTAGTGCAAGGTGAGTATCCCATATCTTAAACAGATGGTACCAAAACTATTTCAGATTTTGAATTTTTTCAGGTTTTGGAATATTGGCATAATACATAATGAGATATCTTAGGGATGGGACCCCAGTGTAAACACAATTCATTTATGTTTCATATACACCTTATACAATAGCCTAAAGGTAATTTTATACATTTTTAATAATCTTGTACATGAAACAAAGTTTGTATACATTGAACCATCGGAAAGATGTCACTATCTCAGCCATCCATATGGACAGTCTCTGGTTATTTGGCATTACAAAACAGCATCACTTGCGTCACATACAAAACAATGAGTAATGCATGTAGGTCTTGGCCCCATGGAGGGCATTGTGGAGAACCTGCTATTGGCATGTCTGGCCTGCATATGAGCCATTTTATTACCCTTTGCGGGCTTGCTTGTGCAGGGGAATCTGGGCGTGCACAGAAAATATGTATTGTAGTTAAAGGGGGCTGGGAGAGTCTTTTTTCCCTTGGGGGTGCTGAATAAACTGTGTTGTGTGCCTGTGTTTTACTGTGACACAGTACGTAAGGTCAGGTATGGAATTTTCTACCTGTGGTGACATATTGGCTCAAAAAGTTTTGGGTTTTAGATTTTCAGATTGGGGGTGCTCCACCTATAAATATATAAAAGTCACTACTATCTGGTTTTAGAACAGTCTCATCACTTGTCCAAAATGTTCTTGATGAATTTCAGGACCTAAATGTGAAAAGCAACACTTTAAAACTTTTCGAAGAGAATATTTGGTTTATCTTTATAACTTAAATGTAGGGGAGGATTTCTTTAGACACAAAAAATACACAGAAGAAAGAAAAACATTGGCAAATTGACTACATTAAAATTTAAAACTTGCATATATCAGAAAATACTACCCCACCCTATTCAACAAAAACATGACTGAGTTGTTTGGGAGAATATATTCCAATTCATAGAACTGACATAGAGTTAGTAGCCAGTACACAGAAGGAACTCCTCATATTTTAAAAAAAAAACCCAATTGAAAAATGTACAAAGGACATGACATGCAAATTGTAAACACTTGAATTGGGCATGAAAAGATGTTCAGTGTCACTAGAAAACACCAGATGAAAACATTAATATATTTAACACTCATCAGATTATCAAATATTAGAGTATCTGTCAGTGTTTCATGCTGCTAACAATGTGGTACCAGAGCACTCCCACACACTGTGCTAGTATTACTATTAATTATCACAACTACTTTGGAGAGAATTTTCCAAGAATTGGTAAAGTTGAAAATGAGTAATTTTATTCCTATTTATATACCTCAGGGAAGTTCACATGTGTACAGAGAGTCATGAAAAACAACTTTTTTTTTTTTTTTTGGAGATAGGGTCTCTCTCTGTCATCCAGACTGGAGTACAGTGGTATAATCATAGCTCATTATAACCTCCAACTCCTGGGCTCAAGTGATTTTCCTGCCTCAGCCTCCTTAGTAGCTGGTGCTACAGGCACAAGCCGCCATGCACTGCTAATTTTTTTATATTTTGTAGAGGTGAGATCTCACTGTGTTGCCCAGACTGGTCTTGAATTCCTGGCCTCAAGCAATCCTCCTGCCTCAGCCTCCCAATGTGCTGGGATTACAGGTGTGAGCCACCACACCTGGCCATAAACAAGAACATTTATAATGGTATTCTTGGTAATAGCAAGAATTTGAAAACAAACCAAATGTCCTAATATAAAAAAGATAAATTGTGGTAGATTCATACTATGGAATAGTATGCAGCAGTTAAAATGAATTAACTAGAGCTATATAAATCAGTATAGATAAATTTCTGAAACTAAAGTTAGATGTGAAAACTTATAAATGACTTGCTCTGTATGATAATATTTATATTTATGGATTTATAAATGAATAGTAATAATATAAAACTATTTTTGGAAATGATTAATACTAAAATCTGGATACTGATTTCCTCTGGGGAAGAAAGGAATAATATAATTTGGGCATCAATGATACCTGTATGGTTAAGTAAAACATTAGAGTAAACATTAGAGTAATGTAAATAAATGAAATTTAAACTTTGTAACGTGGAACTGTGTGTAGATTTCTTCAAACCAAATTTTGGTTGTGTAGATATTTGTTAATGTTATTTTCATTATTTTACTATTGGTTCGAAATATTTCATAATTTAAAAGAAAAAAGTAATATTAAAGACTTTGAAATTTTAAAAAGAAAATTGGTATAATGGAAATATTTTTTAGGAAATAGAGTTATGGATGTTCATGTGACTTAATGAAATTTTCTTCAGTGGATTTCTTAGTGATAAAGTATTATATTCTTAGTCTAAATAAGAGATATATAATAAGTTGTGTATTAAACTTCAGGCCTATGTTTTGTCAGCAAATCATGTTTGATTATAATGAACCATGTGTTGAAAAGGTGATTTTTTTTTTTTTTTTTTTTTTAATATATACCCCTCTGGTCCCAAGTATGTCCAGAAGGATATCAAGGTCACCAAGAATAATTTGGAGGTTGCCAAGGACTTGCTTAAAAGTGTTTTTAAGTCCGACCCAGAACTCTGACATTTAGAAATAGTTAAGATGTGAATATTTAAAGTCATGTTTTCTTTTCAGGATTGATTTTAAAGAAACTACTCCACACAGGAAACTCTTTAAAGGTATAATATAATTATATTTATTTTCTATGACTTTTAAAAAACTGAGTAAAACATACATGCCACCTGTCCTCCTTTTCCTACCTTACCTTTTCCTAAAGATTGTTGAATTGTCTTTAGTTTACTTAGTTGAAGTGAATTCACTTAAAATATAGCAACAATTTCTTTGAAAATACATGTCCTGGGTTGACTAGGCCATTGAAAAACTGTTGGATTTTGCCACTGCATTGACTCGTTCACCAGAAATCTTTCCTCTTTTTGTTCCCCAGAAGAAAAACATTAGTCATTCAACAAATTATCTTTCATTTTACCATAACCATTTTTAGACATAGAGGAAAGTAGGGATATGTATAAAAATATTGTTTTTGTTTCTTTTTCATTATCTGATTGTGCTGTGGTAAGAGAAGCTGCCCAGTCCAAAAACATCTTGCTGTAGGTTAGGTAAAATCACATACTATAGGTACTTTTGACATCGAAGCTTTCCTATATTTTTTTCCTGTTAATCCGGCTAAAAACCATGAGTGTGGCAGCAATTAAATAGCTTTGACAGCGACTATTATCAAAGCTCTAATGTAATTTTCATTTTGAAGCTTAGAAGCAAATAAAAAGCAAATGAGATCATTTCAGAGAGCTTTAAAATTCTTCGGTAAATATTTTAAGGCCAGGACATGGTATCTCACACCTGTAATCCTAGCACTCTGGGAGGCTGAGGGGGAGGATTGCTTGAGCTCAGCAATACTAACCAAGAGCAAGACCCCATCTCTACTAAAAACAGAAAAATTAGCCAGGCATCATGGAGTGTGCCTACAGTCCTAGCTAGTCGGGAGGCTGAGGCAGGAGGATTGCCTGAGCCCAGGAGTTTGAGGTTGTAGTGAGCTATGATGACACCATTGCACTCTAGCCTGGGCAACAGAGCAAGACTCCGTCTCAAAAATAAATAATAATAATGTTAATTACTTTTAATAATTTAATAATTTTCACTTAATATTTTCAGAACATTTTAGGTACAGGAACATTGAGTTAGTGGTGTGCCAGGATCCCCATAACCATTCTTCCTTTTACCAAACTTGTCACTACCACTAATAGTCATTGTCCTCTCTCTTTTTGCTTCTTGGATTAGACTGGTGGTATGGAGGGAGGGAGGTAGACAAGAAGATGGTTTTCTAATTTTTCACAAATAATTTCCAATAAATGGAAATTTCCATAGAATAAAAATTACCTGATCTCTTTAAATAGAGACAGAGTTCATTCTTGTTAAAAATCCATGAATTCATATTTCCAAATAATGAGAGTTCAATAGATGCCATGGGTATTATAATATCTATTTTTCTCCTCCTTCCCCTCCTCTCCCCCCTCCTTTTCTTCCCTCTCTCTCGAAAGTGTCATTCTGTAATCATTGGAGAACGTTGTTTTTAAAAGAAAGAAAGTATTTCCATTATGAATATAAATACTGTTTTTCATTTTATTTTAGATTAGACGGGAAGGTGTTCGTCTTTTCTTATTATGGTTGCAAGCTCTTCAGAATAATTGTAGCAAAGAACAACTCTGGATGTTTTCATGCTTAATCCCTGGATTTTCAGCACCACAATCTGAGCACGGACCTCGGACTCTAGATAATCTCATTAATCCACCACTCAACCTTCAAGAAAGTAAGATTCATGGGATTTTATCGATCAGTATTTTTAAGTTTTCTGTGTAATCTGTTAATGTGTTTTTAAAAATATCTATACGTTTATTAACTGGATTATCCAAGGCAATGTTTTCAAATGTAAGTTTTATTATTATTCAGGTAAGGTGGGGCCAGTAGATAAAGAGAGCTGTTGAAAAGATAAGTCTGTTACTCACGGTTCCCAAGAGGAAGGGGCTATATGGGCAAGCACCAGACTTGATTAGAGGCAGAGGGAGCAGGGAGAAACATAGGCAAGAGCGTTTATTATCGTTTGTGTGGAAACAGGCAAGCCAGGGTAAGTAAGTTTAGGATCAGCTAGTTTTAAATAATTTCAGTTCGAATAATTTCACTAGTCTCTGGGGCATAAAAGTTGTCCCTAGTTGTCTAGTACCTGGCTCTGGGGTAATTAGGACAGAGGAGTAGTGGCCCTGAGTGTGAATGAAAGGGAGTTGGTAGGGGTTTGGGCTCTGGACTGGTTGATTTGAATATGAAAGGCATGCTGACTGGCTAGTCATTTACTATCTCTAGGAATTGGCTAGCCCTGGGAAGGACATTATCTCCAGAGCCAGCAAGTCCCCAGATAAGCATGAGGATGGTTAATACAGATCACTTAACATTTGTCTTTAATTTATATTCCTTATGTATCACCTTGTATCCTGGAGTTAATGTAAATACAGATTGAAGTACAAATGTTTTATTTTGTGCAATAAATGACTAAAGATGTTACATGAAAGTTGAATTTTTATGAACCACCAATAGTATTATTAAATTTCAATTATAATTTCAGAAATGTTAAATTTCTGCTTTCATTAGTCAGTGAATCTTTATGCTTTTTACCCTAAATTTTTCTAATATTGTAATTTTTTTTTTTTTTTTTTTTTTTTTTTTTGAGACAGAGTCTCACTCTTTTTGCCCGGGCTAGAGTGAGTGCCGTGGCGGCAGCCTAGCTCACAGCAACCTCACACTCCTGGGCTCAAGCGATCCTCCTGCCTCAGCCTCCCGAGTAGCTGGGACTACAGGCATGCACCACCATGCCCGGCTAATTTTTTTCTATATATTTTTAGTTGTCCAATTAATTTCTTTCTATTTTTTGGTAGAGACAGGGTCTCGCTCTTGCTCAGGCTGGTCTCGAACTCCTGAGCTCAAACAATCCGCCCGCCTCGGCCTCCCAGAGAGCTAGGATTACAGGCGTGAGCCACCGCGCCCGGCCTAATATTGTAATTTTTTTTACTACTTCAATTCTTTTCTTCCTGTATTAGTACTGCTATTTAAATGACTGTAAGTGATTTTGCAACCAGGTGCAGTGGCTCACACCTGTAATCCTAGCACTCTGGGAGGCCAAGGTGGGAGGATTGCTTGAGTGAAAAGTTTTCAAACAGTTTTCATTATATACATGTTTTGCAGTTAAAATTTATTTGGCCATATTATCGTATTATTAAATTTGTTTTGTAATTGTTCTTCTATCTTTGGATAGCTCAAGTCACTATAGAGGAAATCACTCCTCTTGTCCCCCCACAATCAGGAGATAAAGGACAAGAAGATCTCACAAGCTATTTTCTTGAAGCACTTTTAAAGTACATAGTAATTCAGGTACTTGTTATCTTCTTTGATATCATCCCCCATACTATTCTATGTGGGTAATTCCTTGCCTCTCTTACCATTGTTCTGTTATAGTAGATATTTGCCAATTTTCTTTGCTTGGGGCAGGGGTGGGGCCAAAGAGTCAATGGCTTGATTTTAATTAGTTTTAACCTTTAGCTTTTACAAGTGTAATAAACCAGGTGATGGTGGTAGGGGATATTTCCCAACACTTAATGTAAACTGAAATTTTAGGTTCTTTGGAGTAAAATAGGCTCTTCATTGTTTACAAGGTTATTCCTTAGTTGTGAAAATTCTCTCTCCATGTTTTTCCCCTCTCCCCCTCTATTCACTCTTGGCTGCCACCAATCAGACAGACAGAAAGCTCTAGAACACATTTTTCTTACATCTGTAGTAGAAACCTTAGTAGCAGACAGTAAGTGTTCCAGGTATGTAAAATAAATGCATATATTTGCTTATTTCTTTGAAGGAGTGACAAATATATTACTATTGAAAATATGTTAGTATCCCCTTTCTGAAATAATCATTGGAGGCATGTATTCATTATGAAACTCTTAACAAAGCTGGAGAGAGAAATTTTTGTAAAGTATATTTTTGTAGAATGTGTATACCTTCTTATATGTGCCAATTGGGCTTATTTTCTAATCTTTTCATTTGTAATCAACAGCTGCGGTACTTTAAATGAAAAGCTAATAAGTGTTTGATATAGGGATCAATCTGCCAAGATGTAGTAACTAAGAAGGTGGGCTGCAGGATCGGGATTGGGAAGAAATGTAATTTACACTTAAGTCTGTTTGTACCTTTTGAATTTCTAGGTGTGTATATTTTGTAAGGTAACCTATTCACTTCTATATTTGAAATGTATATTCCCTGATTGACTGGTGAGGACACTCTTAGCACATATGTATTTCTTGTTAACTGTTCCAAATGTAAAAATTCCCTATCCTCAGAAACAAACATTGTAAAGTTAATTTGGGCCCTGAACCAGATTGCCAAGATTTGAACCCTGATTCCTCATTTTACTAATAGTGCGCCTTTTGAAAAATTACTTAACTATTCTGTACTTCAGTTTCCTTGTTCGTGAAATAGAGATAAAAGTAATACCTATCCCATTTTGGTCTTTGAAGCTTAATTAGTTAGGGCAAAGTGCTTAGAATAAAAAAGTGCACAGCACACAGTTAAGCTTTCTGTAGTGGGTAAGTAGTTACTATTATTATTACTACTAGTTTTTCTTTTTTTAAAAAAAACTTTTGTACTTCATATGGATTTTAAAAATTGCTTTACTGGTGTATTGAGCTATAATTGATATACAGTAAACTGCAACATTTGAAGTTTACAATTTGATGAATTCTGTTGCCTGTGTACATCCAAGAAACCATCACCATGATTAAGATAATGAACGTATCTATCACTCCTGAGAGTTTTCTCAGATCTCTTTGTAATCCATCCCCTTGCACTCCCCCACTCCCACTCGATCCCCACGCAATCATTGATCTGGTTTTTGTCACTGTTAGTTTGCATTTTCCATATTTTCATGTAAGTGTAATCATATGGTAATACCTTTTTTTGATCTTTTTCTCAGTGTAATTATTTTACCTTATTGTATGTATCAATGGAGTGTCCTTTTATTGCTTATTCATTGTATGTATATACCAGTTTATCCAGTTATCTGTTGATGATCATTTGGGTTGTTTCTAATTTTTGGCTGAGAGTGAAACTGCTGTGAACATGGGTAAACAAATCTCTGTGTGGACATAGGCTTTCTTCTCCCTTGGGTAGAAACCTGCAAGTGGAATGGCTGAGTCATATAGTAGGTATATGTTGACTATTTATGAAGCTGCCAACCTATTTTCCAAGTGGTTGTACCTTTGTACTTTCTGCCAGCAGTGTATGAGACTTACACAGTTACTTCACATCTTCATCAACAGCTGGTATGGTCAGTTTGTAATTTTAGCTGTACTAGTGAGTGGGTAGTGATATCTCATTGTAGTTGTAATTTACATTTCCGTAATCACTAATAATGTGTTGAGCCTCTTTTTATGTGCTTATTTGTCATCCATGTATCTTGGGTAAGATGTGTGTTCACTTCTTTTGCCCATTTTTTAATTGGGTTATTTGTCTTACGAAGTTGTAACTTTTTTATATATTCTAGATACAAGTCTTTAGATAAATGTTTTGCAAATATTTTCTCCCAGTAGCTTGCCTTTTCGTTTTCATAGTAGTCTTTTGATGACTGCTTTTTTCTTTTGAAGAGTAAAAGTTTTTTATTTGATGAAGTCCAGTATATCACTGTTTTGCCTTTATGGTTCTGATTTTTGGTATTGTTTCTAAGAAGTCTTTGCCTAATCACATTTTACAAGATATTCTCTTATGTTTTCTTTTTGAAGCTTTCTAGTTTTATGTTTGACATTAATGTCTAGAGTCCATTTTGAGCTAATCATGATATATGAATAATTTTGACCTTGATCCCTTGATTAAGGTACAGTCCGCCAGGCTTTTCCAGTCTATTGCTCTTTTTCCTTTTATAATCAGTAAGTATTTTGTGGGAAAGTACTTTGTAACTGTGTAAATATCCCCTTCCTTATAGAAATTTCACACGTTTTAGCATCCATTGAAGACTTTTGGCTGAATTATAACTATGATGGTTGCCAGTTGGTAATATTTTAAAAACAGCTTTATTGAGATTATACATTCCATACAGTTCACTCACTTAAAAGTGCAGTCCTCCTAATAAGAAACCCCATATGCATTAGGAATCAGTCCTCTTTTTTTTTTTTTTTTGAGACAGAGTCTCACTGTGTTGCTGGGCTAGAGTGCCATGGCATCATCCTAGCTCACAGCAACCTCAAACTCCTGGGCTCAAGCGATCCTCCTGCCTCAGCCTCCCAGGTAGCTGGGACTACAGGCATGTGCCACCATGCCTGGCTAATTTTTTCTATAGTTGTCCAATTAATTTCTTTCTATTTTTAGTAGAGACAGGGTCTCGCTCTTGCTCAGGCTGGTTTTGAACTCCTGAGCTCAAACAATCTGCCCACCTCGGCCTCCCAGAGAGCTAGGATTAACAGGCATGAGCCACCGCACCCGGCCAGGAGTCAGTCCTCTTATCCCCCAGTCCCTCCATCCCCATCCTTAGGCACATGCTAATCTATTTTCTGTTTCTATATATTTGCCTATTCTGGACATTTCATATAAATGGGATCATACAATATGTAGTCTTTATTGACTGGCTTCTTTTACTTAGCATATGATTCCAAGGTTCATCCCTGTTGTAGCATGTATTAATACTTAATTCATTTTTATTGGTGAATAATAATCCATAGTATAGGTATTCCATTTTGTTTATCTCTTCATCAACTGGTGAATATTTGAGTAGTTTCCACTTTTGGCCAAGTGGTGATATTTTAATTCAGTCATCCAACAGTTGGCAAAATACTGTAGGAAAAAGCTTTCTCTCTTCTTCATTTATTTATTTATCTCAACATGGGCTTATGGATTCCTATGAATCCATGTGTTAGTATTTATTACTGTTCTTTACTTTGATGCTCAGACTGTCCTAGATATGGCTAATGGGAGCTCTTTCAAGCTGACTCCTGATTTGTCTCCATCATTCTTTGATTACTTCCTTACTTCTTGGCACAGCAAGATGTTCCAGTCTCATTTTGTACCTTCCTTGCCCACTGTGGAATCTACTGTTGCTCTAAGGAGTGAACTATCATTCATTTTAATGGAGAATTATATTTAGAATCTGAGAATCAGGCACTCAGGATGCTCCTTGCTGTTGGGGTGTTGCTACTTCTGGACCTTCTCAGTGGCCAGAGCTAGGGGATGTACACACACACACACACACACACACATTCCTATCTATCACTCTGTGAATTCATAACAGTACCCCAGGGTTCATTTTGGTTTTTCCTTTCCATATTTATAACTCTGTTGTCTGTCAGTGAGAAATACGGCTCACATTATTCTTGGTATATTTACTTACTTAATCAATTCCTCTTATAGATAATCAATCTCTCATTACCACCATTGCCCTCCTCTGCAGACATTCTCCTTACCTTGATCAGGCTCCAGTGCTCCACTGTGGACCTTTGCCAACCGCCTGCTTAGATACCTTCCTCACCTTTCTAGAGTTCCCACACGCTATATTATACTGCCCTGTCTTCTGTCTCGCCTTCCCTTACTTCATGGACACCCTTCTCACCTCTCTCAGGCTGTGAGTCCCCTCTGGGCTACTGCCTCTCCTTCACCCTCTTCATGGATATCCTGGTTCCTGTGCCCAGGCTCTGATTATCTGCATTTTACTGGTGCCACTGCTTACACACACACACACGTATGTGCATGCATACACAGACACTGTGGCCACATATGCCTATGTATTTTGTATTACTTTTAGGCTGAGTTATTTAGGAAGGGGAAAAAGGGAAAGAGCATTAGTATCTTTGTCTAGAACCAAATTTTGAGTCAGTTTTCACAGTTTTTCAGAGCATACTTTAACTTATTTAACATTAAGATTTTTGAAATATATATAATGTATTTGTATGACAATAGACCAATTTTAAAGTTTTCTCCTTATTCTGTATATTATGATCTTCACAGTGTAACAGTTTTCTCCTTACACTGTATATTATGATCTTCACAGTGTAACAGGTCAGTGTATTGCAACCTCTTATAAGCTTGTTTATAACAGCTAATATTTGTATTTAAGAAATTCTGTCTCCTGGAATAATTTTAGTTATATTGTTTATTTTTAGGTAAAAAGTTTAGAATGGAAGAACAAAGAAAACCAAGAAAGGGGATTTTCATTTTTGTTTTCACATTTTAAGAAATATTACTTGCCTTACATTTTTCCAAACATCTGCAAGGAGAACAGTTTATATCATCCTATACTTGGTAAGTGGTGTTTGGAATTTTCTATAAGATGATACATAAAAATAAAATATCTCTCAATGTAAAGTTGCCATTTGTTACCTACAGAAAACTGATCATATTTAATATTCATGTTGGTTGGTAGAGATACCATACCTAGATTCATACTGATAGTGAATTTATATCAGTAGGAAATTTTCATTGAGAATGAAGATATTTTTTAAAAAGTTATTCTCTGGATCTCATCTATTGGAAAAGTTAGCTCACCAGTAATATTTGTGATTGTAAATTAAACTAAATTCTGATGTTTGATATGATCCTTAGACGATATAATGAATTTTCTTTTTAAGGTCCCCCAAGGGTTACTCAACTATTAGTCTTATTCAAATTCTATAGAATAATTACACTGTCATATATTTTGATCAAGTTTTGTCCAGTATTTATATATATAGTGGCTGTGCCAAAATATCTGTTGGCTCCCAGGTTAGAAGCAGACCTCTGCCATGTATAGAAGGCATTGGTAGTCTGTATGTGGAAATGTCTGTTTTGTAGAAAGTTGTTCCTAATGCTAAGTTTAGGTAACTAACAGGCTCAGGTAAAACCTGATACTTTATATGGCTTCAAAACATGTTTCAGTCTTAGGTTAACTGAAGTGAGCTCGCATTTTAAATGGTTCTGAAAACTTTAATACAAACTTAGGCAGACTCATTGAACCTTTTGATGTTATTTTGCAGAAAGATGTTTCCACATATCAACTGGTATATATGGTTTATATATACCATGTATAACTCTTCTCGGTTCCATGCTAACATCTAGCAAATTTTACAATGTCATTTTGGTGCTAAAGCTACTTCTAAAACCAGAGTAGCATCACAATATTTTCTCAAATGTTTAAAAATGTAGGTTTTTCTATGCATAATTCCTTTCTTATTTTGGTGTTTGTTTTTCTTTTGTTTTGCACAGATATCCCACAGATGAGACCAAAGCCACATTATGTCATGATAAAGAAAGATGCTGAAACCAATGAAGCAATCTATTGTATAAAGGAGCCTTTCATTAACGCTCGTGTTATTGTCATTCGTTGGCTAGTTTCTTTCTGGCTGGAACCAAAACCACATACAGGACCTCATATTCCTGGGATGGAAGGTGAAGTCTTGCCAAAGAATATTCAGGTAATACACAAATGAGACAAGCTTATTAAAATTAGAAATGGCTTTTGAGATTTAGTCCACTGATTTCAATTGTCTTAGGTGTAGAGGACATTTAAAACAAGTAATGGTGATATTTTATTTATATAAATGTATTTTATAAATCCAAAGTTTAACAATTACAGAATTAATAATTATCTTAATAAAAAACTTAGACAGTATAGAAGATAATTTCAGTAGTTTCTCTATCTCAGCTTCTAATTAATTTATATGTTTTGATTTTATAGTACTAAAAATATTCTGAATTATACAGATAAATTCTTACAGGTGGAAAGAACTGCAATCAAATGGTAGGACCTTGATAGCCCTTTCTAATTTCTGGGCAGATTTAAAGTCCTGTTCCTTCCTTCTCCCTTTTTTCAACAAAGACACCAAATATAGAAATATAATATAAAATTACACAGCAATACAATGGAAGAACTAACATTTAAAATTGGTTTTTTGATTAAACAGTTTTCATATTTTTCTTTCATTGTACGTTTTTCTGAATATGTCTATATTACAGTATTTTTACTATTTTCATTATTCTTTTCTCAGATTTTCTTGTTTAGTTTTAAAAATCTCAAACTCTGTTTTTTGTATAACTTCCTAAACTTTTAAAAATAGGATGGAGGTATAAAGTATTTTAGTTCGACTTCAGAAAATTTAACTTTTACTCCCCTTAGTCTTTTATTTATCTGTAGCAGACTAGATGGTGCGTTTTCCCCAAAACTTTGTTCCAAGTCCTCTATTAAGAATTA